TTTAAAGGTATTGCTACACTTTCTATAAGACTGAACATATTACTTGCTGAATCTTGGCTAAATTCCATTTTTTATAATTACATCCTCTTCTCCCCTTCTCAGACATTTTTTGCTGTCACAAGAGGATGCAGCGTTCTCCTGAACATTTTCCTGAACTAGATGCCTGGACAGGAGTGTTTCGATCTCGTGGTGATGTCTTTGCAAGATAGCTTGAAGTTGCCCATGATGCAGCGTGATCTCTGCATCGCTCCCTGTAGCATTGCTGCAGAAGGAGAGAAAGATGGTTTTGAAATTAATACTCAGGCAGAGGTTCCATTTTTCTCCCTGCTTAAGTACAAATACAAATATGTTATTTTGGCTTCATCCACTGTTACTCCTTTGATACAGTATAATCACTCCCTGGAGCAGTGGGAGGCTTATTACTTTAACTCTGCAAAGTACTTTGAGATGATTTTAGTCAAAATGCAAAGCACTGTTATCCCAATAGCACTGGGAACTCTTTCAGAGCATTGACTGGCGTCTGCTTCCAGCCTGATGAGCTGGCGATTGTAGTCCTTAGACGGCATTTTGATAAGCAAAATCCAGGGGAGGGTTGTAGCTCTGTTAGCTGCTCGATGCACTGCCAAGACAGCACTAAAAGCAAAGAAGGAGTGGGTAACTATTAAAAAAAAGAAAAAAAGATACCTGATGCTATTTAAATATTGTTTTCTCTGTAGGTACAATGTTTGCTGGCTGAGAAGCACCTACAAGCCTGTTACTTGGAAACACAGGCAGACACTCCACTAAAGTAAAGTCTGATCTTTTCAGGCTAGTAGCCAACTGTGGACACTAGCTAATATTTGAGAGCACAGCCTGGTGAAAGGGTCCACCAGTATGTCTGGCCAAATGCACCTTGCTGAAAATAAAATTCCCATCACAAATGTCACCAGAGGGGAATCCTGCTGCCAGTTTTCACAAGAGACAAAATCGAATTGACTAAGAAATCAAACTACTGTGTCTCACCTGCAACACTGACAGAATGGGACTGAGGGACTTGGAGAGAAGCTGATAAAGTTACACTACAGGTGCCAGAACTCTAACCTTTTTTCTGTATCTGATGGCTTTCTGTGGCAGTCAATCTGCATCTTCGTGGAAGTTGGACTTTCGGTGGACTTTATTCCTCTTTCCTCCGAGGGCTTTGCTTTGGTGACAGCTGGCCTGATTCCTTACTGCTTTGTTCCTTTCTAAAGAGATGTACATAGTGGTTTAAAGCACTGCTGTTTGTGAGTAACATCATCTTATGTACTCCCTTATCCTGTTTTTGCTCAGGGGTATGAGATGGTTCCTGCACCAGGCAGTAAAAATGACACCTACGGCCCCCTCTCTCCTTTATGCTTACTTATTATTCTCCTCTAGTAAACGCATGAGGGTCTAAACAGGAATAACACCTTTTGCATAAGTGCCAGTTTCATCTCTTTCCTCTTAGGGGAATCTAATTGTGCTCATGTACCTCTTTTGCAGAAAGGTGTTCAGATATCACAAAAGGAATGTCAGTACCAGAAAATGAACATGAAGGAATGTGGCATTGGCCAAAACACCGACGCCAGCATCATCCTGTGACTGTGGAGCTCTACAGCAAGTAGGACTTGGCAATATGGATTTAATGTGCATTAATAATCAGAGCATACACACATGGTGTCACGAGCTCTTGGACAATGGCTCTTTGCAGAAGCCCCTGTTGCCCCATCTTTGCTGGATGGTGGTGCTCCATGTAGACTAGATGAAGTTAGTGGGGGTGTTTTACAACCCTACTTTCATTCTGCTGCATAAAAACAGAGTCGGGGCAGGGAAGCAGGGGAGAATTAGCGGTGCCTTATCACGCCCCCCTTCCTAGCACTACCTAAGGCAGCATCACCTTATCATGTCCCTCCCCCCAGCACTGTCTAAGGTGGCATCTGCCTCTGCTCCTGATCGGAGCAGTTTCTGCCCTATCTGTGCCACAGCTCCCTCCATCCCGAGGACCACTGGGCCAAGTCTTCTGGCTGTAGCCATTTAAGCCTCAGTGCAGCTGAGGAGGGGGCTTACTGACATCCTCCTGGAGCAGTGAGGCACCCTTGACTCAATCTGCAGCAGCCACTGAGGAACAACTTCTCAAGCCCCAGCTCGGAGAGATGCTCTGCGCTGCCACTCACCACCTTGGCACGTGCGGAGGGAGAGAGCGCGTAGCAGAGCACCCATGCAGGCAGCTCTGCATCACCCTGCAGGGCAATTCTTGGCTGCAACTCCAGGCAGCGACAAAGCGCTTTAATACGGTTAAACAGCTTCAGCCGGAGGCTGAGAATCTGGTCTCATGTTTTATTCATCCAAATTCCCTTTCCCCACTCCAGAAATCTACACTCATCTCTTTGCTAGCGAATCTGTTCAATTTCCTCTCGTTTAGCGCTGTGCTGCAGCGCTCGCGTTTCCGCCAAGTACTTTCACTTAGAGGCTGATCGGCACTAATCACAAGTCCAACTTCTCAAGAGTGACACGTGGGAGAGAGAGGGAAACGTAGGTTCATCTAACTTCATCAGTCTGTTTTGTTATATTGACTACTTGATTTTCAGTAACCAGCTCTTGTGCAAGGAAATAAAAATATGAGAAATCCAGCTTCTTTCCTTTTTTTTTTCTTTTCTTTTTTGGTAAGATTTTAGGTTTGACTCATATTTCCCAGGCTGATTGTCAAGTAACTGACAAATCAGTCATGGTTGACAAGTGAGTAATTTGGAGAAGAGAGGGGGTGCAGCAGGTGTCAGAACTAATTTGGTAAAACAAAAAAAAAAAAGAGTAGAGAGTGGTATGATAGTCATTTACACAGTCATGACGTTGCGAGCTTTTCATAAAAAATGTGTGCCGGATTTTACAACACTTAGAACGTTAACTGTTAACCAGCCACTTCAGCTCCATTTCAGAAGTGACCTACAAGTTCACTGTTAGAAGATGTGTTTGAACCTCTTACCATGAAAGACTGGTTCAAAACTCTCTTGGGGAACTGGAGAAAAAAACAAATTTCTCACACTGCTGGGCTCACAGAGTAGTTCTTGCAGCAGGCAGGCCCGGTGCCCTGTCCCTCAACCACAGTGCGCTAGGCAGGACCATCAGGAAGGACACCATCGCCCCAGCTGGAGCATTCAAGCACTATGGCCCTGCCAAGACCTCTGCGGCTCACAGTTGCCTTAATTCCCCCAAACTGTGAGTCTGAGCAGTCCCTGCTCATTGCTAACAGGCTAGTTTTATGGCAGCACCTAAATCTCTCTTGCTAGGTGGAAGAAGTGAGATCTGCAGCTGGGAATTCCTCCGGCTCAGAAGGGAACTCTCTAAGATTTTGCTCTATTTTAAAAATCACACCCTTGGAAATCAATTGATTCACTCTCCTGCTAAATCCACCATTCTCAGCTCTGTATTTCCTTGCTTCAATCTCAGTTGTCATTGAAGCTGCCTCAACGAGCGACTGGTGTTCTCGTTCTGATCCCCGTGATGGTGCTAGTGACTGCAGGCCAAAAAAAGGGTTGTGCTGGCAGACACCTAAGATGCACTCTTGCTCTGAAGTGGCTGTACAAATAGCATCACGGCATTTCGTGTTTATCGTCTGGTAAAGACTTCAGTATCTTATATGCTCTGTCTTGGAGAAAAAAAGCTTTTTTTCCCCATTTAACTGCTACTCCTGGAAATTCACTGGGGATTCAAAGAAAAGCTGTGTTTTCCAGGCCTCTGCATAGCTACAAAGAGTATAGAGGCTGCAGGACAATTTCTGCTCTGACTTTCATCCGTATAACCCATACTGTCTTGAAATCCTACCTTTCCTTTCACCCGTGGGTTGTTTGGGGCAGAGGGGGCCTGCGAGGCAGCCACAGGCAGCAACCGTGTTTCTAAGGGATGGGGCAAGAAGAGAGCCTGGTACCCAGAGCTACCAAATCTCTCTGGCTCAAACCTCAGCAAATCACCTCCAAATATACAGCAGTCTAGATGTACAAAGCAAGAATTTTTTTTCTGTGCACCTTTGAGAACAGAAGTGCAACTTATTGGAAACCCGTGTTTGGGTCGCTTTTTTATTTTTCCTTTAAACGAAAGGCCAGGAGGCATCTCCTCCAGCTGCATGGAGCAGCTCCTGCTCTGCAGAGCATGCATCTGGTGAGGAGCGCGTCCACTTAACCATTCGCACACCGCACCTAAAGTCAGGTAGGGAAGAGAGGTGACGTGCGCCTTTGCCGTGGATTTAAATCAGTGGAAAACTCGGGCAGGAGCCAAGCCAACATGCAAAGTTGTGGTGACCTTCCACCAGTCAGCCCGTGGCCCCAAGCGTGACTGCCGGGTGCCACATCCTGGCCAGCCACGGCCCTCGGGGGAGCCAGCAGGCCCTCCTCCCCGGCCACCTCGGCTCCAGCGCTGCCTGACGGAGGGCGATCCTGACGGAGGGCGATCCTGATGGAGCGCCATCGCTATGGCAAGCTGCAGGTATAGGGATTAGTGCAGCTCCGGGGGGGACCCTGGTCGGGTGTGCGCGCCCCACTCCGAGCAGCACTCCCCTGCCCGCGCTTCAGTGTGCTTTGGGGAAGGACGAGCAGGTGAAGCGGCGTCGCACTTTGCCAGGGTTTTGGTGGCGGGGGGGAGGTGTTTGGCCTTTAGAAACATGGGGTGGCTATGGTTTTTAATAAACTCTTTGTGGGAGAAAGTGAGGGAACGCTCCTATTCCTCCTCTGTTTGTAGAGCTCTTTTGGGAACACATCAGACTTGTGAGAATATAAAGCTGCACTTCAAACTCTGATGCCCTCCGCCTGAGTGAAAGGTAAAAACGCTTGCAAACCTCATGCACGCTGCGTGCCTCTGCGCCTGCACGCGTGTGTGTGTGTGTGTGTGTGTGTGCACGCGCGCAGCACTTTCTTACACTACTATGACAGCACACGCTCCTGCAAAGCTAGTCAAGGCTTTAGCAACACAACTCCTCCCTCCGGTGCCCCGTGCGGGCGAGCGGCTCGGGCGTGCTGCCTCGGCTCACTCCCGCCTGACCGCGGGGCTGCCCGGCACGACTCCGCTCGGGGCCTGCGGGCTTCGCGCGGAGGAAAGGAGGACCGGGAAAACGCAGAGGCAGGCACAGGACTGACCTACGGCGCCAGCGGCGACTTGCTCCCCTTGCAGCAGAATTACATCGGGGAGGAGGGGAGAGGGAGGAGGGAGAGGAAGAGGAGAGGGGGAGGAGGAGGAGGAGAAGGGAAAAAAAAAGAAAATCCAGAGAATTCCAGGCTGGCAAATATAGTGAAACAGCATGATCGGGGTTCATTCGCTCTAGAAGAGCAGAGAGGAGAGAGGACGTTAAACCGAGAAGAGGGAGAAAGGTCTGTGGCTCCTTTCCCGGTAGGAGCAGTGTTTCAGAGGTAAAATGATTCCCCCGAGCAGCGCGACTGAAGTCAGCGTGGACACGGTGGAGAAGGAGCACGAAGTGGAGAGCACAGAGCAGCCCCCCTCTCCAGCATCGACCACCAGCCAGGAATCAAAGGTATTGAGAGAACAAGATTTTTTTCTTTTTTTTTTCCTTCCTCCCCTCCTCCTTTCTTTGCTTTATAAAGAGATGTGTTGCTTTGATTGCTATTTGGAGCCCTGTGGCAGGGTGTGAAATAGCCTGCTATAAGCCATCTCCAATCCGACAGTCATACTTCTGAACGCTTGCAGGTCACCTGGGCGGCTTGGGGCTCTGAACGGGGAAAAGACCTGGCTTTTGAGTTGTTGGGGTTTGGGGATTTTTGTTTGTGTTTTCCCCTCAGTATTATGGGGGGGGAGGGAGAGTCAGGGAGGGGATTGCTTTCGGTTGATATTTTTAGCTATTTTCACACTAGGCATGCATCCCTTAGAAGCATCTGTTCATAGTTGGAAAGACTGGTTTTCTCACAGGCTCAGAGAAGAGAATTTTGTCTGGAGGGCTGGGGTGTTTCACCTGCCTCACCCCCTCCAGCAGACCCGTCAGTGAACTTTTGCTGTTTAGCAAGCCAGCAGTTGAAACGGGATATGAGTGATAATTTTGGCAGAAGAATCTGTATGTACGCCACTCAAAAAGGATTTTTTTTTTCCTAGCCTCTTATTTACTCATTAATTATTAAATGTGGTTCAATTCTCCTTGCTGAAAGCCAACATCCAGCTCAAATGGTGTGGCTTCTAAATTTTTAATTGACTTGCATATGAAAAGTTTTTCTGCCAGCCGGTATGTTACTTGGAAAAAAGAGAAAGGTAACCGAAGAAAATTAACCTTTCAGAATGAATGCTCTTTGCAGCTTACCTGGATAACGTACTTTTCTTATCAGTATCATGCTAGCATCTGACAGCCCATCCCATGGACCATATTCCTAGTGATGCTATGTGCTGTGCAAACATGTAAAAATGGGGAGGTCCTTGTCACTAAGAGCTTACAGCTGGGCAGTGCCTTGGGAACTACTGTGTGAACTAAACAGCTGCTTCACAGAGGTGGTTCGTGTTGCCCGTCGTTTAAAGTCTAACGTAGGAAGAATCTACGTTATTCTGAGTTATAACGAGGTTTCTGTAGAGTGCGTTGCAATAATCTGTCTGTGTGGGTAGAGTTCTGACGTGGGGTTCGGGATCTTTTTTTAGATGCTATACTCCAAGGAAGAGAGCTAAGGTATTCCCTGTGTAAAACAGGCTCTTTAAAAGAAAAGAAGTCTCACAGCATCAATAGCATCCACTATTCACCATACACATTCAGCACTACCGGGATATTGCTACGCTCTTCCTTGATAAAGGGAAATGACAACTAAAAGGGTTATTTGTTTAACCTCAGATCCCCAAAGGATCCAATAGGTCAGTACCCTACCTCCCCCACAAGGAGCACTTCCCTGGAGTTGCAGAATTGCTATTTGCCCAGCAGGAAGACCATCCCTGTGCTGAGGTCCCAGAAGTGAGTGGAGCCTCCACTATATGGCCAACGCCACTTTCTCAAATGTGCTGAGCTGTGCCCAGGGCTGTGCAGGCTGCACGCTCCCTTTGCTGCGACCCTTGCTCCCGTCCTGGTACGTGGTCATGGTGCTGGAGGTACCGTGCTCATTGTGAGACTGCGACAGTGTGCTTGAGGGACTTTCCCACCAGGTCACCAAGCTCTGTGCCCAGCATACATTGACCAAAACAGAACTCCTAAAATAAGAGAAAGCAAAGTGCAGCATGCAAGATTCCTTTTGGCTGCTTGCACAACCAAGGCACTCACAAAGATGACAATAGGAATTAGGCACATCTGGCAGTAAAGAAAGAGATTACTCACTGGTTTATAATCAAATTTTATTATCCTCGGTTTGGCCAGTCTTGTGAGCGTTTGAAGTGATGCAGGGGAACAGGCAAAAGTCTATGACTGTCTGTGCAGATTAGTTGATACTATTGCTTGCATACAGACATTTTCAGTAAATATATAATCTGTGTATTTACATTTTAGGACTGCAAATATGATCAGAAAGCATGCTGTATTGTCATTTCCATAGATGGACTCAAAAGAGGCTTCTGATCACTAGGGTAATGAGATTACGTTTGGTTTTTTGTTTCTTGCAAACAGGAGGATGGAAGAATTCTCAGTGATTTTGCAAAGATGTTGTTTGTGCTGTTTTTTTCCAAGGGAACTGATGTACTTCACAAGCCAGAGGCTTTGACACATACATAAGTCAGTGTGTGCCAAGGGCCTGCGTGCAAGCTTTTATCTCCCAGTGCCCCTGCTGAGGGAGCTATCCTGTCATTCATAGAGGACTCAGCTTTCTTCAGGTACCTCTCTGTTGCATAGGGGAACAAGTCCGTGTCCGCTGCAGCTACTGCAGAGCAGTTTCAGCAGAATCTAGTTACTATAACTTGTTTCTGTGGCAAAACACTATTATAACTCCAAATATAGGAATATGGATAGTAGCAACCTTCAAAATGTGCTGGAAGCATTTCAGTAGAAAGAAAACTTTGAAGAACTAATGTAGAACTAATGTAGCATAGATCTCTTACTTCCAGTCCTGTACAATCATGGACAGCTGTGGCATATAATCCCTTGCAGTACCAAAGTCCAGAAAATGTGTCCAAGCAAGCACACTCCAGAATGCACTCAGGAGATGACGTGGAGGACATACTGCAGTTCCTGACTAGCTTGAGTTTGAGAGGCAGAACTCCAGGGTGTTAAGAAGTAGCTGAAATTTGGAAGACTGTAAAGCATAACTCTCATGCTTTAGTCACACACCCTTTCCACAGTAATGCCTCTCACTCATAATAAACACCAAAGCCTTATACCACCTCTACCTACGGATCAGGAACATGCTTACAGGTGAGCAAACTCAGGTGCTGAAAGTTGAATGACCAGGTCCTCATGCACGTATTTTCCCTTATGAGCACCTCAGTGCCAGGAATTCAGTGCAACTGCTGAGAAGGAGCAAATTCAAATGGACTTTTAATATGCCACATTGCATGGCCCCTAGCAGGAAGCCACAAATGCATGTGTAGAACCTGCCTGCATGCTGCTTATGGTGTAGTATATATAGTGTGATATAATGTGAATGTGTCTTTTGGATTGTGTGTCCTGAGGCACTTTATGTGTAACACCTCTGGTGTATTATTTCACTAATATGATTTAAAATAGGTGTCTTAAGTGCATCAGGCACTGTAACTGGGCCTTCCTCTAACAGTATGTATACTGCTGCTGTGTTAAAAACCCCACAGCATGAATTTAGGAATGATGCAAAACTAATAACTAATTTTTTTTAATTAATTTATTGGCTCCCTAAAACATTAACTTAACACCGATCTACTACTTGAGTGGATCCTTAAGGTATATTAGGAGAAGAACTTTATAAGGGTACCATATAAATATATGTCATTGCTAATTCTAATATGTGCACATGTTTGTGATTATGGCTCCCATAGGTATGGGTCCTTCATGTCTGTCTTCCAACAAGGCAGATGGCCAGTTTGTGGGAGAATTTTGTAGATTTTCTTCTTAGCAAGGGAGGAAGTCATTAGTTAATGAATCCTAAAGGGAGATTTCTTCCTGATGATAGCAATTAAAGGCATATTGCACACTTGTACAATCACTAACTTAAACAATAAAGCAGAAATCTACTAGCAGCAATCAGATCTTATTTCTGATGCCCCTTATGTAAAGTTACCTTGCAATTTAATAAAAAAATAAAATTTGGGGGGCATACGGTTGAATCTAAAGAAAAGATTCCCACACCCAGCAATATTTCTTTATGATTCGGCACAGTTGGGATGTAACCCTGTTAGCTTTATACTTCCTATACTCAACTGACATTTCTGTATGAAGAGGAAAGAGCCCATCTGCTGATTTCACTAGTAGTGAGTCAAGTCAGTACTACTATACTTTGAATAATGGCTGAGGGCACTAGAGGAGAACACCTTAGAAAATACCATTCCCATTTTTAAGTTTTAGAGGGGGCTGAGCCTCTGTTAAATTTCAGTAAATATCAGTAGGGTTGGTCAGCACTGCTGATCTTCTAGCTATCACTGTTTCATTTCAAGTATATATATATGAGGTTGTCTCTCATACAGCGCAGAAGAGCTGCTGGAGTATCAAGTCCATGCAGGCAATCTGTCACATACAAGTTAGTTACTTATTTGTAGATGCCAGTGGACACCTGCGAAGGCCAACCGTTCTTCCATCGCATCGCCCATTTCCATCTACTTTCTATAAAGTCCAGTTATAATTATCATGTATATCAGTCATGTATATGTGGGTGTGATAACTTTAAAGTTTTCCTCTGAACCACAGATTCGTTGGCTCAACAAATTGCTTACAGTCAGGTCAGTTGGGTGTGCTGAATAGCTAGAAAATGAGAAACTAGACCTCTAAGTAAGTATGTCACTTGGACTGTCACAAAATAAATGAGTCTATCTTAATCTGACACTTCTGTATACTGACTAGCTAGTGGCAAGTATGCATGTAAATGCAGACAATTATTTTCAAACTCAGTTGTGGCAATTCAGGAAATGTAGCGCAATTGTTCAAGCACTAGCTTGACCTGGTATGCAGTGTATGAAGTGGAAGTTGCTGAAAAGTAGTAAGCCAAGAAAAAGGATTCAGCACTTAATTTCAAGATGTAGACTTTGTTTATGTATGCCCCCAAATCAGCTGAGAAAACTGAACTTACTTTCTCCTGTCCCGTTGGTCCAAGGTGATGTGAGGTTTCAGAACCAGATGTTAATATTAGGTACTAAACTAACATAAACCACTTGAAACTGTTTGGATTTTAATAGGATTTCGTGGGATTTAAATCATGGAGGATTTGTGCTATGGAGTTAAGCAGAAATCTTCCCTGCTTAAAGAGTTAATACTTTATGAGGCTCCATAGATGGTTACTGGTCAATGAATATTTAAAAAAGGCAGGGAGTATACAGTTAGTGTTTCACCCTCCACGCTACTGATAAATATCCAGAATGCAAACTAGTACTGCAGTTGTCTTCAAGAGAATATCAAAACAGCAAAACAGCTTTAACAAATCATATGAAAGGGGAAGAAAA